TGGTTTCTGTTCCAAGGTCATAATATTTATACATTTGTAAGAGTTATTAAAATCAAATTTTGATTGTAAATAGGGGAGACCAGGGCTAGTCGGTGCAAGGGGCTTGTCGGTTCAAAGGATTTTATTTTAAAACCAGTAACGATTAAGAATTGAAATTTTGTTATAAAGTAGAATTCTATAATATCCATATTTGGAGATGAAAATGATTTATAATATTTAGCTATTTAAATTTTTATCTTTTATGACCTATTTTTGACGTGAAAAATATTTTTACTTAATATTATTAGGTTGTATTTAAAAATTAAAAGTTTAAACATGACAAAATGGACATTATATGAAAGTTAAATATCTATTTTAATATTTGGGAAAGTTTCAGATTGATATCTAATGCTTAAATATATGTTAAGATCATATTAGTAATATTACCACCATTGAGGTTAGTATCAATCAATTAATTTTTATAATATAATGGTACGTAAATATATCCGCAAAATTCAAAACAGAAATATTTTTACTAAAGAGGACTATGGAGAAGCCATAAAACTGTATGGAAATGATATCTCATCAAGAAAAGTTTCATCTATTACAGGTTAAAATATAATATTTTGTAAATGTAATATATAAAATGATAATTAATATATAAATTTATTAATGTAATTTTTCATAATACATATCAATTTAATATTATTATCAGACCTAAATAAATATCTTGCTAACTAAAATCTTCATTTATATATGAATTGTGATAATATAATATATATTATCATAGATATATTATATATATTTTATATATAAATTTAAGCCTGATAATATGATTGATTATTTAAAATGAATTATATCTAGCAAACAAATATTTTTATATATCTATTATAAATAACATATAATATGATTCAAATTATCACATTTTATTAAATACGAACATTTTACTATACAAATTTTAGCCTGTTAGTAAGGTCAATGATTTAAAATGAATTATATCTAGCAAACAAATATTTTTATATATCTATTATAATTAACATATAATATGATTCTAATTATCACATTTTATTAAATATGAACATTTTACTATACAAATTTTAGCCTGTTAATAAGGTCAATGATTTAAAGTGAATTATATCTAGCAAACAAATATTTATATATATATCTATTATAATTGACAATATAATATGATTCAAATACAATTTATTGGATATGAACATTTAAGTTATCAGGATATGATTTTGGCCTGATAAGTTATATATTAAATAAACTACCTGATTCGACTAGCCCCATCGATTATCCGACTAGCCACGGGTTCGGGGCTACTAGGTTCAAAAAATGACTTTTACTAAAACTTTTTTAGAGAAAAAATTATTAAATATTTAAAAAATATAACAGTATATATTTATAGTTAGATGTTTAAGGTATCGATTGTATTTTGTAAGATCTTATACGATCATTATTTTCAGAGCTATGATGATTTTGACAAAAATTGCGCCGACTAGCCCTGGTCACCCCTATTCTAAAATTGTCTTAATAAAAATATCTGCTTCATTTAAAAATGTATTAAATAGAATATTATTTGAACATTTTAATATAATATTTTTAGCAATAGCGCCATAAAATTTATTATCAATTTTTAAGTGTAGAGATGAACAGAGCTGTTGATTTTGTGAATCTTATTACAACTGAATATTAACTGCATGAAGTAGATTTCCTATATATGAAACGAATTTCAAATATGCTTCTGCCATTTCATACTCGAAAAAATTTTTCAAAATTTTTGGACATTTAATAAGAAATATTTTTTTAAGCGTTTTAAAATTCTATCGATGGCAGGTATTAATGATAACCACCTGATAGGTACATATCGCAACAACTCACACCATTCCAAGTCAGACCACTCCACCATCTCTTTTAATTCATTAACTCTTTTAGTTGATGAACTAAATTCGTTAAAACATTTCATTACAATTATTTCGACATCTACAGATAGTACATTCATTGCCTTCTTGCAAGAATTATGTAGTATACAGCCAATTGATATTAATTCATTATTGTGCTGCCTCAATTAGCTAAATACACTTTGGTTTTTGCCAAAATTTACAGAGGTATTATCAGTGCAGAAAGCTGACATGCAAATCATTGATAACCCTGAATCAGCTATATTTACAATTATGTGGTTAGCTACATCGTTGGATTTTCCACTATTCGAGGAAAAAAATTTTAACAGTTTTATTGAAATGTTCTTATTCTTGTTGAAATAGTGAAGGATCAAAGGAAATGTTTTAATATTTCCCTTATTAGATGCATCTGTTAGAATTGCATATGGATGCCCACCTTTCAAATCGTCTAGAATTGATCTCTAGGATTCAGATACTAAAACATTTGTGATAGGTTTGCTCCTTTTTGTTCTAACACAAGTAAGATTTGCACTTATATTGGAGTCGTTAAATATCATGGGAAAGATTCGACCCACATTGTGATGATATATCTCTGTGATTAACTACATGATAGTTGTATACGATTTCCGCATCTGTAGTTACATCCATATTATTTATTATTTTTGGAGAATATTTTTGTATTGCAATCGATGTTTATATACTCCCCTGTACTGACTTATATGAATAAAATGATGCTGATTTATTATTGGATAAAAATAAAAGAGGATAGAAAGAAATTTACAAACTGGACATGTTTTTAAAATAAATGTTTAAAATTTATTTTAAAAATATAAAAATAATCAATTACTGTCTCTCAAAATTATTACTTATATATTAAAAACGTTAAAATACTTTTAAAAAAAATTGCGGGAGAAATTAAAAAATTGCGGTAGATGTTTGTGGGAGATTTCCAATTGCGGTAGTTTTGCGGGAGAAAGATGTCTGCGTGTAAACTAAAAAATTGCGGGAGTCTACCGCTGATGGGGGGGGTATGGCAACCCTGCTCATAATGTATACTATAGCATTAACAGTTGAAGCTTAATTGATTTTTATTATTTAAATTATTTTATACCTCTAATTAAATAAATATAATCATATTAATTGAGAATTAACAAATTTAATATTGTAATTAGCGGAGTTCAAAATCACTAAACAACTATATTATTCATTTTTATTAATTACTATGTCTCTTCCTAAAATTTCAAGGCCCAAATAAGTAAAAGAGATTTCTTTATAAAAAGTAAGTGGGCATATAGTTGATAATCCTCTATTATACAAAATTGATTATAAAATATTAGGTAAAATGCAACTTATACAGACGTATTTGACATTTATAGAATATATTACAGTTAATAATTTAATAAATTTTATTAATAAATACTTTTGATAATAAAATATGCAGGGATCCAAACCGAAACTCAACCGAAATATTAAACCGCTAAAAACCGGTATTTTTTATCTAACCTAAACCGCTAAAAAATTCTAGCCGAACCTGAACCGAACCGCTAAAATGCTTCTGAATTGTTCAAGCCTTATGATTTTATGCTTATAAAATAATGTGTAAGTTGTTACTAGTATATTACTAAAATTTTAAATATATTCGAATTGTTTAAAGATTATTATCAATCACATTTGATTGATAAGTTTCAGTCATAATTTTTATAAACTATACTATATTGCCATTTTACAACATTTTTTTAAAATATTTTAAGCTTATAAATTATTATGCCTAGAGAAAAATTAAATCCAATATATGAATTATTTACATATAGTATTATAAATGACACATCAAAATTTAATATTACTAATTGTCAAATAAATATGAAAAGCCATCATGGATCAAATATTGAGCGTCACATAAGAAGAAGCCAACCTCTAGAATTCGATATAATTAACAAAATATCACAACAAAAGCCTAATAAAATAAAAAAGTTTAAGATGTCATCTAGCCAACAGACAATAGAAGAAGCATTAAAGGAACAAACAATTTAAGTAAAACTAAATAAAATTTTAATAATCAATGCTTGTACTGAGTTGGTCGCTTTTAATTGCAGACCATTCAAGTATCATACAGGGAACTTTATTTTACAGCTTTGGAATGAGAAGCAATTATAGGGTTGATGAATATCCTAAAGTAAAGCTACCAAGAACCTACAACTTGAGCAGCTAACTTTAGAGGATTTTTATGACATATGTATGGCTAAAAGCTAAATTAGAAATTTCTATTTTTACTTCACCCTTTGCTGGTTCAATAAAGGATGCTATGAATTTTAGAGAAAAACAACGTTTAAACAACAATGCCTTTTTGTCATGCCTATATCTTATCTAGATTTAAGGTATGTTTTAAAATATTATATTATATCTTATATAAATTTAATTAATAATTTTATTTACCTTAATTAATAATTTTATTTTACTTTATATATTTTTCTACCTGTTCATATAAAATAATAAGATTTTTTTAATGATATTGTTAAGTAGTTGTAATTTTTTTATTATTTATAATTCTCCTTTAAACTACTTGTTTGGTTTTGGTAATGATATTCAAAATTTAAATTGTTTTTCTTTTTTTTACTTGTTTTTGTTTTGGTAATGGCATTCAAAATTTAAATTGTTTTCTTTTTTTTACTTGCTTTTGTTTTGATAATGGCATTCAAAATTTATATTGTTTTTCTTTTTTTTTTTGAACTACACTAATTCTAATTGTGAATGACATTATATTAGTTACAAATTTTATTATAAAAAGATCGAATTTGATTTTATATTTTTAGTGAAAAATTAAATTGATTCGTAAATAAAACAAAAATATAAATCTCGTAATTACGCAATTTTTAGAATTCAACATGGTGGCAGTCCACTACATATACGAGGAAATCGTGAATAAAAAATAAGTATGAAACATATTCCCAACAATAATGTTAATATAAATATTGAATTTCCGATATAATCAGGCAATGGCGATCATTTTTTAAGTATATTCGAGAACATTTTTAAGGATACTCAGATCTCGGACATCGAAAAAGCTGGATCCTTCACAAGAAGACTACCAGACGAAGAATATATCAAGCTCAAATCGATATGTTCACCTACCGACTTCATCAATCCATCGATATAGATTGCAAAATTCAGGTTATTACACCCGAGGAAATCTACAAGTTCGAACTTATTATTATTTAACGCAGATGTACAAGGTAAAAATGAAAGTTATATCAGTTGGGTAAGTAGATTATGCATTTAAAAAAATGAGTGTTTTGGTAGACGATAGTAGAGTTATTGAAAAAGTAAAAATTTTGTCAATCAGCAAAAATATTAGGCAGAAAATTACGTTAAAAGAAAACATTACATTAGCAGAAGTTCTTACTTTAAGAGATGATTTTGAGGAGTTAGAATTAAAAGAAAATATAATTGCTAAAGTTGAAAATATTTCTTTATAGGAAAAACAGAAGATGATACAATCGTGAAACATGTAGGAAGGCAAAGAGCAGAGTTGTACAAAAGATCTTCTTTGAAGATTTTTTAGCGAGATCTAGCTCAAAAATTTGAGCAAGATCTTTGAAGATCGTAAAATTTGAAGATCTTTTATTTTTTAAAAATTTTGTGTAACGATCTTCAAAAATCTTCATGATATTTATTTTTTTACCCCTTTATTAAAAGCCCAGATTTTTTTCAATTTTCATCAAGGCAGGAGGAGAGGTATAAAACATAAAAGAAATATTATATTAATAAAATTGAAAAACATCTGGGCTTTTAATGAAGGGGTAAAAAAATAAATATCATGAAGATCTTTGAAGATCGTTGATCGCAGCGTTACACAAAATTTTTAAAAAACAAAAGATCTTTTTATTTTGAGCAAATGTACAACTCTGGCAAAGAGGTAGGAAAACAGAAGAAAACAAGCAAGTGGTGAGATATGGAGACCACCACGAAAGACAAAATTTACAATCTAATTACGATAACAGACAACGATGGACAACAAGAGGCCATGACTTTCAAAGAAATAATTATCAAGGAAATAATTACAACCCTAGATATCAGAACTATAATGCTAGTTATTACAACAACGTCAGGGCAAACTACCCAGGATCGTACAATAATTTTTCAGGATTTGATAATAGAACTAGTTATAATAACAATAACTATAATAACCATAGATTTAATAATGATTATAATTACAGATATAACAGACATAACGATTCAAGATTTATTCAGATACATAAAAATAATCATAATATTGGAAATCAAGGAAGAAATCAAGTATGTAATTGTAGACATCATAACCACGATAATAGAATAGTCAATCGCGATACACAAAGAAGAGATAAAAGAAGATGAAAATGATAAATTAGAAAAAAAGAATATAATTTATATTAGAGATCTGCAAAAGTTTCAAGGCTTCCGTTTGGATTAAAGACTTTGTCAGCAATATTCCAACAAACTATGGACAATATATTCGGGGACATGAAAGATGTTATATTTTATATCGACTGCTGATTACTGGGGACGACGATGAAGCTCATCTGAATAACATAAAAATGGTATTTGACAAGATATCAAAATATGGGCTTGTAAAAAAGCCCCTTACTCTCAACCCTTCCCTTTAGCTTAATCTACACTTAAATATCCAAGGGTTCTTCCAAATTATTTATTCACAATGATAAAATAACAACTAATATAAAATATATAAACCAATAACCAATAACTATCTCATTACATGATCCGAGACATCCAATATACATTCCTCTTTGTTCTTCTCCAGCTGGCATCAAGTGATCTCCCCATTCTCCATTCTTCCCCCAAGGAAAATTAATTCTTCATGTCATAAAAATTGACTGACATTTAGTATATTATATTAAATTTACTTCTTCTTTTTTCTAACTGCTACAACAGGGCTTACACTAAATTTTACAAAAAGTATATTTTTTAAAGACAAAACTACAGTTTTTGAGGCACGATATAGACCACAAAGGTATACATCCGAATGCAGATAAGATTAAAGCTATTTCAAACATGTCGGAACCTAAGACAAAAGAGGAATTGGCACTATTTTGGGGATGGCGAGCTATTATCGAAAATTTCTATGTAATTTTACGGACATAGCTGATCCCTTATACAAAATAGTTAATAAAGACAAATGGTTATCGGATAGTACACATCTAGAAAGCTACGATGACCTGATAAAACTGATAAATACTCCGCCTACGTTAAATTTTTATAACCCGGATTTACCAGTAGGCATTGCAACTGATGCTTAAAAGAAAGGTCTAGATGCAGTCTTATTTCATATTGAGGGTGATGTTAAAGAGAAACTCATTACTTTCACGTCAAGAGTATTATTAAAAGAGTTAAATTATACAAATATTGAAAGAGAATATCTGTTATATACGTGGTAAAAAAAGTTAAGAATATTTAATTGGTACGAGATTTACAATAATCACAGACTACAAGCCACTCATTTATATATTTACGAAGGAACTCAAGGACAATTCTTCCATTCATTGTGACTCCAAAAATTGAGTTTGGCTATAGGAGCTAATGACTTAGTACCAGGTTGTTTGTCAAGATTACCACAAATGAACACAGAAGAGATGGTATAAAAGATAGATGGTGAAATAATTGATGACAAATTTTGGGACATACCAATAAATTTTAAAAGAATAGTTAAAGAAACTAGTATTAATAAAGAATTAATGGAAGTAATTAACAATATAAAGAATCATGAACAGAGAAAGAATAAAACATATAAAAATATGGAATTGGAACTGAGCTTAATTAAAGATTGTATTTTTAAAGAAAATAGGATCATAATACAACGAAATATGAGAAACGTGATGTTGCAAGAGTTGCATAAAGGGCATCTGCTGGGAAAACGAAATACCTCTAAATAATGGTACAGCAGATTTAAAACAAATGTTAATAATATTTACTCTAAATTTTAGAAGGGGAAGAAGTGATGATAAAACAGTATGAAATCAAAGTATACAAGTTCAAGATCAGAGTCTTAACAGTCAAAGACCAATCAGAAATATTATGTTGTCTAAAAAATTTCATAATGAATATAAAAATATTTTAAAAATATAATAAATAATAAAATATTTTCTTTTAAATAAACTTTCAATAGCTTATGCTATGTGGATCAAAACTAATGAATTATCCTAGTGATGACTAACGATAACTACCAAGATCAACAAAGGACAAACGAACAATAAATGATGAAGAAACCAGTAAACAAGACAAACGATAAGATGTTAGACAGAGGGTGAAAACTTAAAAAAAAAGAGTGAAATGTTAAGTAGTTGTAATTTTTTTATTATTTATAATTCTCCTTTAAACTACTTGTTTTGTTTTGGTAATGATATTCAAAATTTAAATTGTTTTTCTTTTTTTTACTTGTTTTTGTTTTGGTAATGGCATTCAAAATTTAAATTGTTTTTCTTTTTTTTTGAACTACACTAATTCTAATTGTGAATGACATTATATTAGTTACAAATTTTATTATAAAAAATCGAATTTGATTTTATATTTTTAGTGAAAAATTAAATTGATTCGTAAATAAAACAAAAAAATAAATCTCGTAATTTCGCAATTATTCAGAAGTCAACAGATATTTTTAATTCTTATTATTTAGATATAAAATGCTTCTGACTGAAGAAGAAAACCAAGGCTAGAGAGCATATTATATTAAACTTTGTCAAGTAAAAGTGAATCAACTCCGGTTAATATATCTTTAGTAGAAAGTCTTCTTAAAAGAAGATGATGGTAACAAACAAAATCTGTTACAAAAATCGGATATTATTAGATATATATTAGTTAATTTTTCTAAAGAACCTAGGATTTTAGACTATTGGAGAAATAAGAGTAATTGATACCCAGAATTATGTAAATTGTCTGAAATGACAGTGCCGGCTACCCAAGTTAATGTGGAAAGATGTTTTTCAACAATTAAATTTATACTATCTTATAGGTGTAATATGAGTGAGGCGAATCTTGAAATTATATCAATACCTCAATAAAAAATTTCAAGTAAATGAAGTTAAATATTGTTCATATTAAAATTAATCCTTGATATTTATTTGTATATTTATAAATTAAATATTATTTTATAATGTACAATTAATAAAAATGAAGGTTTTATTTATGTGTTTTTTATTTAATGATGAAATAAAAAATATTCTTCCCTAATATAATTCGAATGTAGGTTTGAATACAAAAGTGAACCGGTTTTTAGAGGTTCGAACCGAACCTATATTTTTATTTTTTACGAACCGAACCTACCTTGAACTGTTATTTTTATCAGAACTTAAACCTGAACCGAACCTATATTCGTTTGGGTTTGGTACCCTGAATATAAGTAACAATTTGCACACAATTCTTAACGTCATCTATTTATTTATATATATAATTTAAAATTATTAGTGTTGTAAACATTTCTAAAAATACCGAACGCGTTCGCGTTCAACGTTCATTGACAAAAATCGAACGCGTTCACGTTCAAGTTCATGTTCAAAAAAAGGAACGTGTTCACGTTCACGAACACGTTCATAAAACCGTTCAAAATTTTATGATAAATTTTTTTTTTTTAATTTAATTTAATATAAATAAACTTATATTTTTTAATACAATATATTTTAGCGATGTTAAAAAATAATATAGTTTTATTTTGATAATATAATTATAAATAAAATATAATATAATATAATATAGCGAATAAAAAGATATTTTAATTTATAAAAAAATTTTCTTATTAAATTTCAATAACAATTGTTTTCAAAATATTTATCTGATAGACAGGAACACTTGGCAGTTAATACGGCATTAGCTATACTAAAAACGCGCTCTACAGGGGCAGATGAGGGGATTGCGATATTATACTTAATAAACAGCTCTTTTAACGTGGAGAATTAATTAAAAACTTATTGTTTTGTTATTTGCAAAAAATTGAGATTGCCGCTATAAGTTTATTTTTAATAGGTTCGTTCTGTGGAAGTTTTATCCATGGCCATTGAAGTTTGAATGCTGGATGTATAATTGCAGAAAGAACATATTGATCCTTATATATATGTTCAAATCTTTAAAAAAATAAAATATATGTAATTAATTGAGTAGTAGTAGGTTTAATACCTTTTATTAATCCCATTTAATATGGCGTCTATCAATGGTTGACCATATTTGAGGCCACTAATTTTTTAATTTTAAAATAACTATCGTTATTGTTGGGGTCAAATATCCCAAATGCATTATTTCTTCAAATTTAATGATAATTTTGGTTAGAGAATACTTTTTGGGATATGTTTTAAGTAAAAAATAGAGACAATGAAGATATTGAAATACCAAAAATGACCGTAGAGGAGTTAGATATAAAAACGTAGAAAATAAATTGGTAAAAAATATGGTTTCAGAAAATATTAAAATTAAAAATTTGATGAATAATAATCAGGAAATAAAAAAAATTCATAATTTGGAATTAGATATTGTTTCAAAAACTGATGATGATTTTAAAAATTTGGAAAATATAAATGAAATAATGGAAGAATAAATCAAATTAGAATGCTAATGAGCGAAATGTAAGGAATGGAGAAATCATTTGTGTGGAAAATAAAGTTCAGATTATTGATAAAATTGAAAATTTAGTAGATAATATTTTGGAAAGTACGGAAAATGTAAAAGCAAGTTTTCTTGAAATTGTAAATATTAAATGTGACGAAAATGTTACATATTAATGAAATTGATAAAATTTTGGATTTGGAAATTGATAATGTTTTGAAAACTAATGTTGAGGGTTTTAAGTTGGAAATTGACAGTAGGATATGTGAAGAAGAATCTGAGTTAGAAAATAATTATATAAAATGTGGTAAAATGTATAAAGAATCAAATTTGGAGCAAGAAAAATTGCCTGTAACACTAAAATTCCTGGCGAAATTTGTAAGAGAAGGTTTGTTAAAGGAAAAAGGGTCACATGAAAATTTGGAGAAGTTACGAAATACGGTGATAAATTTAGGAATCAAATATGCAGAAATTTTTGAGGAAAAATTAGGATGTTTGGTGGATTATGAAGTAGATATACGTTTAAAAGAGGGATATATACCACAGTATTGTGCAGTCCACAGGGTACCTTTCGAATGGAGGGCCGAAATGAAAATTGAATTAAATAATTAGTTTTGCCCTATTGGATATAGTAAATGGGCAACACCATTGGTTCCGGTGCGGAAGGCCAATAAGTTGAGAATTTGTGCGAATTTTCGTGTTATTCTAAATCCATGGGTAGTTGAAGTAAAATACCCGTTACCAGAATTGAGGAAATTTTAGCGAATTTAAGAGGGGCAAAATATTTTTCCAAAATAGATTTTTCATGTGCATATTTACAATTACCTATGAAAGAATGTACAAGGAAATTATTGACAATAACAACGTTTAAAGGATTATTTACTTTTTGTCGGTTACCGTTTGAGTTAAGTATTTCAGCCCCGATTTTTCAGCGCACTAAGGCTGCAGTTTTTCAGGGTTTGGAAGGAATTTTTTATTATATGGATGACGTTTTAGTGACGGGAGTAACGGTTGAGCAACACAATCAGAGATTGGAGGAAGTTTTCATAAGAATCAGAGATAAGAATTTAAAAGCGAGTCGTGAAAAGAGTGTTCTGGGTGTAACTGAAGTTACATATTTGGGACATAAAATAAATGGGACCGAAATAAGGCCCTTAGATAAAAATTTAATAAATATTGCGAATATAAATAAACCTATTACGAAAACGGAGGTACAATCATTTTTGGGTATAGTGAATTATTATCATCGTTTTATATAGGATTTTGCTAAATTGGCTGCGCCATTATATTAATTATTAAAGAAAAATGTACGTTTTGAATGGAAAAGTGAACAAGAATTGGCATTTATAGCAATGAAATTGAAAGTGGGAAAGGAACCCATTTTGGTAAATTAGAAGTAATTTTAGCGGTTGACGCATCCAATAAAGGTGTGGGTGGAGCATTGTTAGATTTAATGGACGAAATTGAGAGACCTGTTTTGTTTTTTTCGAGAGTATTTCGTGATGTAGATCGGTGATTGAAGAAGCATTAGCTGTTATTTTCGGTCTTAAAAAATGTCGAGAATATTTAATTGGTAGGAAATTTGTGGTATACACGGATCTTAAACCGTTGATTTATTTATTTAAGAAAGACAATAGAGAATTGGTGATATCATGACTTCAACGGTGGTTATTATTAGTGGGTAGTTTTGATTTGGAATTAAGGTATAGGCATGGAAATGAAAATCATTTACCAGATATTTTATCGAGATTGGGAGTTGGTGAAGAGGCCGATGAAAAACTGTCAGGTCAAGATAGGAAATGTGAAGCAGCCTTAATTTGTACTTTAACTTGTGGTTTAAGGGGCGATCCCACCACATGAGAAGATATTAGATATTATACGTTAAAATATGAGGAAAAAATCATGGGATGTCGGTGAGGATAAATTCAAATGTATTGAAACTGAGTTAACTGTGGTAGACGGTTGCATTATGAGAGGGCATAGAGCGGTTATACTAAGTCAACTGAGAGACAAAGTTCGGAAAATATTACACGCGGGACATCAAGGGATTTCACGAATGAAACAGTGGGGAAGGGAATATGTTTGGTGGCCTGGAATGAATGGGGAAATTGAAAAAATGTGAAGTCTGTAACGCATGGGCGAACATGCCGTGTCGGGATAAGAAAAGTGTTTGGCCGAAAGTAAACAGAGCTTGGGAAAGAGTACATATGGATTTTTTTGAGTGTAATGATAAAAAATTTATTTTAAGTGCAGATGCTTTTTCAAAGTGGATTGAATTTGAAGAGGTACATGGTTTAACTACGGGAATTGTTATTAAACATAAAATTATTCATACCTGGCATAAGTCTGCTGTTTTCATCAGAATTATAAAATTCTATTACTTTAATTTACAACGTCATTCGAAATTATTCTACTTGGTTTTATGATATTGACAAAACACCTTTTTCTTCAATTAATTGTTTAGCTGTCCGAGCCATAAAATTTTTGGTTGAAAATTCCTTTTCAATTTTATCAAGCGTTTAAGATTTTGATAAAACTGTTAAAATTTGTATTTTTTTGATTGCGAGAACTTGTAGCATTTCTTTTAGTTGATATATCCTTTCGGCTTCATCTTTTTTTGCTTGATTCTCTAGATTTATTTTAAAAACTTTTTTAATTTTTCCCTGAATTTTCAAAAATTTATTTCCAGGATATTTTTCCATTTAGCCTTTTCTTTTTAATAGGTGTCTCCCCTAAAAATGTCAAAGTTTCATTTAAAGTTGAAATTGAAGTATTAAAATCTGTATAAGATTCGGGATTATTGCATGGTTGATCAGGTTGAGAATCGCGAAATGTTTCATTAATAGTTGAGGTAGAAGGTAAGTTAGAAATAGAAGGTAAGTTAGAAATAGAAGGTAATGTGATAGGGATCGTAGATGTAAAAGGTAAGATGGGATTTGTTGAATATTTTTTTCCGGCAAGAACTACAAATTTTTTGATTAATTGATAAGCTAGAATTCACTTATATCATCCACTGTAAAACACCTCTAAGATCGTAACGTACTGAATGAGATTTTATTTTAAATGGGTTGCAGCATTTTACAGGAATTGAAGACATTTAAAATATAATTTTTTTAAATTAATAAATAAATTTAATTTCTTAGAAAAAAGGCTATGTAAAATTAATCAATAAAAATGACGGCTGTTGCTGTTGGAATTAATTCTGAATATTGACTTTATGCCAAATATAATTATTTTATTTTAATTAATTATAAGTAGATTAAAATAATCTTTAAAATGAAAATATATTTCTGACGATCTAATAATAATTAATTATCTGGCAATGAAAAATAAACTTCATCATTCACTCACAGAGTTGCCAGGTCAAAAAATCTCGAATTTAAGAAGAAATTTGGGACGAATATAATCTTTAGGTTGGGGTGAAGAGATTATTGAGTTTACTTTTTATCATCATAGTTGTTACTTTATTACTTTTTACAAAATCTTATTATTTATTCCTTATAATGCCTTCAAATTAAGGCGTTTTGCGTTATATTTAAAATAATACAATACAATTTGGTAAATGTTGTTTTGAGTTTTTTAACATTTAAAAAATGCAAAATAATCAGATTTTTTAGGATGTTCGTTTTAATGCTATTATTCATAAATATTGCCCACTTTTTAAAAAAAATAATCACTCAATATTTGGTATAATATAGGATTTAAGCCATCTATTGACCCAGTACTCGTCCCAATCTAGGATTTTGTACAAATATTAAGAAGTATAATGTCTATCTGTAAAAAAAATTTTAAAGAAAAAAAGAGCAATTTTTATTTTATAGCCATTTCCGGTTTTTGTAATAGACTTTTTTTCAATAAAATAAATTTTATGTCATATTAAAGAGCTATTTAATAAAATTTAAATCATGTCTTTAGCTTAATTACTTTTTGAGATATTTAAAATTAAATATAGTGTATTTTGGAATTTCCGCGTTTCTAAAGATGACCATATCTCATGAAGTAAGCTGAGTTGAGAATTAAAATTTTATATTTTTACTAGTTAGTGTATATACTACCTTCATACAAATTTGAAAAAAAATTGAAGGGGGTCGGGTTGAATCTTCAGTTGATTTGATATGGAATACAACATATACAGAATTTTTCTTTGTTTTTATTCAAGTTCCCCATCAATAATTGATCCTCACATGTTCTAAATAGCACTTCTGAATTAGCATATCAGAATCCAAATGACCACAGAGGTCTGCAATGGGTGGGTTTAAACCGAATGCCCACCTCCCATGCTTTTTTAAATTTACCCGCCTGCCCATTTATCTTTTAAATTTATTTTAGTAGTTGTTTGGCTGTTTATTTATTTTAATGTATTTTTACTTTAACTTATAAAATATGCATTATAAAATTTAATAAAATTTTTTTTTAATAGAAGTCTGTTTTCTGTTCACCCGAAAAAATATTACTATTTACCTACCCATTGTTTGGTTTTAAAAATATTTTTAACCCGCCGGCTCATCCACCAAATGTTCAAAATCTTTTAACCTGCTAATTGCATCTAATTACTTTGAAAAAGAAGAAAAAATTTAACTAGCACCTCCCTATGACATAATCCTTATATTACCTGATACCTCAAAACACAGATATGAACGACTTAAAATATTTCTAAATAAATATCAGACGTGACTATACAATGTCCATAGTTGTCATATGGTGAGGTTTAACATTAATAATCGTATTTATTTACTTCATTTTTATAATAACTTTATTTAATGTATAATAAAACATTCATTCATTGAATCTAAAATTATATATCATATGTCAATTGAATATCTCGATAATTTCTGGCATCTTAACAATTATTCCATCAAAGAGGAACGCTAAAAAAATAGAAAATATAATAAAGATTTGGAAAATAAAGTTTGTTATATTTGAATGTTTATATAAATTTTAAAAGGTTACGCTATTTTAATTATATAACTTTCTTACATTTTATATTATCTTATGGAGGTCAATGTAATTGCATATTAGTAGAAGTTAAATGACATAATTATAAAAGACTATATATAGGAAACAATTTTATAATAAATAATCTATTGTTTTGACTATAAAAAATGGCGACGAGATAAAAAAAATTAAGTCGCACGGTTTTCGGTGAAGTTTAATAATATATAGAATTATAAAAATTTTCTGTTATAAAAAAAAATTATATATATTTAGAAATTATGGATAAAATTATTCTCCAGGACTTTAAAAAGGAAGATTGTTCTATCGAGGACTACGTTGATTATATCAAATATATACTAAATGTGAAAAATATTCCTCAAACTGACGCCACTTTAAAAAAATTATATATAGCTTATAGAGGAATAAACATTATAACTGATATTAAAAAAATTACTCTTCCTAGGAATATAGAGGAGGTAGGATGGATTGACATATATAAAATAGCAAAACAACTATATAAAGATGAAAGAACTATTTTGGCACCAAGAATTGATTTCATTAGATTAAGTCGCGGGGCTACTGAATCCGTAATGAGCTTTATAAAAAATATAAAGGAGCTAGCCCGAAGATGCGAATTTGAAGATAATGTAGAAATGAGAATTCGAGATCAATTAATCGCCGGACTAACAACTGGATAAAGAACTACGATTAAGATATCCAGATAAAGACCAACCGTTAAGCTTAAACAAAGTGGTTATAAAATCAAAGAGCCGAATAAACATGATAATGATAATCGGATAAAACATGATAAAAATAATCGGCAGTATAATGATAATGATAAACGGCACTATCAAAGGGAAGAACGACGAAACCAAATCAATAATACAAATTGAACAAAGTCAAAAAGGAAGGCAACCGTAATAAAAAGATTGATAAACGATCTTAACTTGGTGGGAAAGAAGATTATATTTGAATGTTTATAAAATTATATTCTATCATTTTTTTGGTATTAAATTAATGAATACATTTTATAATTTATTAACCATAATCATTGTATGGTAAATAATTATTATATCGAAATCGAACTATTATTACATTCATAACATATTAAGCAAAGTCAATATTAATAAAAGAATATATCGGCGCCGATATTAAATATCGGATCGGGCCAATACCTGTAAAAACCGATCCGATTTTACTTTTTTTTGTTATTTTATGTTATATATATTTATATAGTTTATTTTACAATTTATTTTTAAAACAATGGAAATGCACAACACCCCCTATTTTTTTATAGATTTATAAAGTAATTTAATTATAAAAAAAGAACAAAGTTTTATCGAAGATTGGTAGCAAAATTAATTTCCTCAAGAATCAAATACGAAGCATCACACATCCTCAGTCCTTTTCAATTGGGTGTTGTAAAATTATTATATAATGCAGCTAAAATCATCTTATTTCAAATTATTATAGGTGACAAGTTTGAGTTATATTTTTTATAAGCCTGTCCTTTCATTGATCTTTGGAATGAGACCTCATAAGAAACTGGTAATATGATACCGCAATAATATGCCCTGCTGAATAGCATTTACATAATTCTTTATACTTTTTTCATATATAAAATTTTCAAAATCGTATAGTTAATTTTTCTAAAAATCGTTCAACAAAGTAATCAACCATTTTTCATGATAATTTCCCTTTAACCCTTTCGGTCGCGGTAGTGCAAATATAAAACCACCTTTTAACCTTTATATCTTCTAAAGGAGTTGATCATATAAAATGAAACCACCACGAATATATATTAAAAGATATTCTTTTTCATATGTTTGTGGAGGAGTTATTTTTTAATTTTTTTTTCGCGCCTTTATTTCAAAATACGTTTTTTACGGTGATTTTTCTTAAAATTCCAATTTTAATTATAAGTAAGTATATTTATCAAATATTTTTAAATATATATTCCTCACTATTTTATCTATCTTTCTAATATTTATTTTTGCTCAAATAAATAATATTTATATATTATTTTGATCTTTTTAATGTGGTATATTAAACTAACCACTGCCACTTAACAACAATATTTTTAATATTTATTTTTTTAAATAATTGATAAATTTTGCCAACTCATTTCGCAATAATTTTAGCTTGTTATATATATGGATGATTATCTGGACATTCCATCTGAAGGTTCTTCGTTAGACAACTCATCCACTGATTCCGAAGATGATTATGAATCGGATACACGTTACCAAATTGATAGTGATGATTATGAATCGGATACACCTTATCAAATTGAAATTGATGACAATGACAATTCTGAACAAGATGCGTATGATCAATCTGCTACAAACCATAATAATCCTATCTGGTCCAAGAAATATTCTTCACAACCAGCATTAGAATTTGATAAAATATCAGGTCCAATATCATCTTTAAAAACGGACCCATTGTATCCATCAGATATATATAAGAAATTTATTAATGATTCTCTAATAAATACAATTACATTCAATACCAATTTATATGCCCACAAAAAAATATTAAATATCAACCAACTATTCCTACAGAAATAAGAAAATTTTTATGTCTTCATATACTCTTTGGAATTAAAACTATGGCAAATTACAAAGATTATTGGAGTTCTAAACCAGAATTCCATGACAATTTTGTTTCATCCATAGTGAAAGTAAAACGTTTTATTTGGCTTATGGCCCACATCCATATAAATGACAATATCTTAGAACCATCGAGAAATGATGAAAATTATGATAAATTATACAAAATAAGACCATTCATTGATAATATCCCCTCTTGCTTGAAATGTTTTCTTCCCTCGGAATATCAAGCAATTGACGAAGGAATGATTAGGTTCAAAGGCCGTATAGGATTTAGGCAATACATGCCTAAGAAACCCACGAAACGCGGTTTCAAGGATGTGTAAATTTTGTCATTATTTATTTCGGCTAAACTATATTTTTAGGTTTGGATGAGATGCGATAATTCAGGATATATGAATGATTTTAATATCTATGTTGGGAAAAATAAAGAGGTTGAAAGTAATCTTGGTTATAATGTTGTAACAAAGTTTTGTGAAGGACTTCAAAATCATAAAATATTTTTCGATAATAATTATTTTACGAGTTATACTCTAATGGCCGATTTAAAAAAGAAAGGTATATATGCTACCGGAACACTAAACAAAAATAGGAGATACTTGCCCATAAAGAATATGGAAACAAAATTAAAAAGAGGTGAGTTTGACTGGAGAAGTGATAAAAATAATATAAGTATAATTAAATGGCGAGATAATCGTAACGTATTTATAATGTCCAATTATATTGATCCGAGATCAGTGGATACTGTGAAGAGAAAAAATAAAAAAGGGGAAGTATTTGACGTAAAATGTCCAATAATGATAAAGATGTATAATAAATATATGGGGTCTGTTGACCATTTCAAGTCTTTATATGAAATTTCGCGAAAGTGGCGAAAATGGTGGCTACCAATATTCTTTTGGCTGATAGATGTGGCGATTATCAATTCATTCATAATATACAATATTCTTACAGATAATAAACTCTCATCGAAAGAATTCCGAAGACAAATAATTGCTAGCGAATTGGCATACTGTAAAAATGTTAATAGGGATGATAATATTCATAATGATAATAATTATATATCAATGCAAAGAAAAAATAATAAACCTTATATCCTTCCAGAAATTAGACTAAAAAATTCAGCTCATCAATCAGGCAAGAACCTCACGAAGGTGTACCTTCTGTAGTACAAAGTTAAATCCCAGAAGAACAAGGTGGTCGTGCAAATCATGCAACGTACCACTATGTCTAAATAAAAATAGAAACTGTTTCGAAAGTTTCCATAAGGTGTCAATGATATGAATTTAAAACCACCAGGGAGAGCCGCCATTTTGAATTTAAAAAACTTTTTTTGTGTGTTTTATATTATATTATATTAGAATCAATAAAAAAATTAGTAAATATCGTGTTGCATCATATTAATTTTATGAGGGAACCTAAAGGGTTAAAGTTTTCCAATTAGAGTCCTTTTCACAATCAAATTTTAATTTGGTATCATCAAATAAAAAATCATGAAGAAATTTTAAGCATTCTAGAACTTTTGAGAATTTTTTGGGGATCAGATTAAATTTTGATATAATATTTTTCGACTTTTCTTTATAAAGCCAAATAAATTATCACATCTTTTATTTTTTAATACATTACTTGGTCCTTACAATGGCCAGTATATTATCATTTATAATTATGCATTGAAACAAGTGGGCCATGGCTTCGACTGACTCATTAGTGGAAGCTTCCGAGTTGGAAATTAAAAATCAAATTAATACTAATCCAATAGCTTCAAAATTTTCATAAAGATAAGAAATGTTTCCAGATGACCTGTATATTCATTTCTGGTCTAAAAGTTTCTGTAAAACTTTATATTTACAGGATGTGTTAAAACGACAATGCATTTGCTAAATTGAAAAAAACAGGAAACTTTTTTATTAATTTATTTTGGAGTAAAATCTGTAAATCTCCATTTTAACCAGACATTACATTTGCATCATTATAGATCTGGAATTAATTCTCAAATCATTAAATCGTTTTAAAATACAATTAGTAATGCCTACACCACGAAGACTTCCTAAAATAAGCATGCCCATTAAATTCATTTGAATTTATAAAAAATTATCAAATAATTAAGCTCAAATTCTCGCAACCTACTCCATCCTTTGTTTCGTCACCCTTAAAACTAAAAATAGTATCTCACTTTTGTTATAATTTTTTGAGTCTAAAACATCATTTCTGACTCCACTTTAAATTTGGGGTGAAATGTATTGGGAATTTTTGGGTGTTGTTGTTTAATTTTATTTAATTTTTTGACTCTTTTTGGCAGGTGTATGAAAACATTCGATAAA